TGATGGGGAAGGACAGAGGATCAAGAACAGAGAGAAGAAAGGGGACTGATAATTGTCCTCAAATTGGACAGTAAAATTAACACAGAATAAAAAAAAAAATGGGTGTTTGGTTATTTTAGTGCAGTTTCAGCTGTTGTAACAGGCATAGAGCACTTCCATGTGTCTTTTTACAGAGTAAACATCTAATCCCTCAGGAGGATAAGTACACATATTTTGGAATATTACATCATTAGGAGCACAGCTGATGCATTCCCCTCTTATTTTCAGTTTCTGTGGTACAAACCTGCCAGAGCACTAGAGCCAGCTGAGACTGAAACATCCTTTGCATCTAAAGCCATCTCACTGAGGTTTACCTCAACTGATTTACAGTTTAATATGAATACAAACAGAAATTAAATAGATGTGGTTGCAGCTGATGAAAGAATCTCCAACCAAATAAAATCACAGCTAAAGCATTTTTAATAGTTATTCAGGTTCCTCGAATTTGTTCAGTGTTTTAAAAGGGATATGGCTGAAAGTAGCTCTGTTACTCCCCAATGAACTTGCTTGACCTCCCAGAACAAAGCATTACTTTATCTTCAAGCCCTGCTTGGAAGGCATTCTGGACAGCTGATAAATACCTCACTTGTAGAGAGTTCCATGGAAAATATTCTTTACAGAGCAACTATTTCAGATTTCCAAACGTGGATTTCAGATTTCTAGAACTGAAGTGGCAAACTGTGAGTGCAGAAAGTGAAGAAAGTGAAGATATCCATGGGGAGAGGTTTCCTTGCTGGACTCCAGTGTGGAACAGGCTGCAGGAACACAAATGTGTTCAGTCACACCTGGGGCTTGAACAGGAATTTAGCACAAATCCACTGCAGAGTCTCAGATTGCAGCTGCACCAGGAGTTACCTGGGCTCTGGCAGGGATCCAGCTGGGGAGCACTGCACAGCACAGCCTGCATTTCCCTCACAGCACATCCATCAGCTTTAGTCATAAGGCAAAAAAGAGCTTCTTCCAAAGAGCCAGATCAAGAGAATTCAATTGGACTCAATTAATAACATCCCTGGGCTCAGTACAAATTATCAATTCACACCAACCAAGATCAGGAGGGCATCAGCAAGGTTTGAATGACCTCAGGGGCACAGTTGCTTTATTTTGTGGATGGATTGTTCCCACCAATCTTCCCCAGGCTGAATTGCCAGCAGCCAAGCTGTACTTTCCCTCCTGAGCTGGGCAAACAGCTGCTCAAGTTCACATTTGTATTTCTGTATAAACAACAATAAAAGACAACATTGGTAATGACCAAATACAATTTTGCACTGGTGAACTGCACAGAGAAGAAACCCTTGCAGGCAACCTGTGGTTGCCAGAAATTTTTTTTAACCTAATTTTTTTATTATTGCCAAAGACAGACTTGGAGCCAATCCTTCTACCATCAGGATCAGTCAGTGTGTCCTATGGATGATCCAAAAAGATCAGTTAGCTCCACAATAATAAATCCATTAGCTCCACAATAATAAATCCATGCAGGTGTACATGTGTGTTTATGTCTATATTGACCTAATGCTGATAAAACATAACTTATAAAAGAACAGCACTGCCTAAAATTGAAAATTATTTCCAGTTTTCTTGTGGTGGGGAGGATAAATATATCCAAGACGCACTCTTCTTTTCAAAGGTATTGTCCAAGTTCACATAAGCAAAGGTTTTACAACACCTGCAGTATCTTTGTGTTGAGATGAATCCCATGTTTGGGCTTTTTGCCTTTTTGTTTCCTCCTTCCCATTCCCAGGGGATGCAAAGACACTGTGCTGCCCATCAGAGGAAGTGACAGCAACTGACATTTCCCCTTTAGAAAAAGAGTAATTCCTACTAGAAATCAGCCAGAAGGTGTTTCTTTAGGATAAAAAACTTTATTAACAAACATACAACTGTTTTTTTTAGTACAATGAGGCCCCCAGTGCCAGGAGAGCTGCCTCACTCTCAGCTTAACCCAGCTTTTTTCAAGTCCTCTGGCAGAACTCGGCCCTTCTTCCGAGCCCTGGCTTTTTTCTTCTCAATCTTCTCCTTCTTCTTCTTCTGGATGTTCTTCTTGCGCTTGTCCTGCCGCTGCTGCATCTTCTCCACCACCCTCACAGTCCGCTCCTCCCACTGCTTCTTGCGCTGGGCTCTGCGCTTCTCCTTGCGCTTCAGGGCCTCCTTCAGACGCTCCTCATCATCACGGATCTTCACCCCTTCTGCCTTATACAGGGCATTTGTCCACTTTATCTTGGTCTCCAGCTCCTGAGCTTTCTTCTCGTCCTTCTCCTTGAGCTCCTCCAGTTTATTCTTCCTGGCCTCCAGCCTGCTCAGCAGCTGCTTGTAGTTCTTGCCTGTCAGAGGAGTGATATTGCCTTTCACTGCTTTCCTCTTCTCTTTCTTCTTCTGGATCTTGTTTAACTCATTCTCTTCATGAACTTTAACCCTGTTGAAGACAATGTCAGCTTTGCTCTCCTCCTTTTTGTTTTCTGGCTCTGCTGGTACCTCCTCAGTCTCCTTCTTCTCCATTTTTGCCTTCATCTTCAACTCCTTTCGCCGGCGTTTCTTTCTCTCTCTCTCATACTTCCTTCGCTGTCTCTTCTCCAGCACTGCAGGGGTTAACTCCTTGGCATTATCCTAAGGAGGAGGATGGACATGAATGAGAAGCTTTAAAGGGTTAAAGCAAAAGTAAAAGTGGGCTGTGCCCCAGTTCCTGATTTCAAACTCCTCCTCAGAAGCACCACCTGTGATGTGAAGCTGTGACTCAGCTGTTAGAGACACTAAACACAGTAACAACATTTCAAACCCTTTGCTTTCCCTCAACAGCCTGTAGCTGTTCCCTTGCAGGCTCTCACTACTTTGCTTTTTCCTAAAAATCACCAAAGGCACGTTCTCTTTGAAGCTGGCCACATCTTTTCTCACAGAACACACACAGGTCCCCTGGCAATCACTACAGGCAATTCCTTATGAGCTGGAATCAGCTCAAACCCTGTGAGATCTTGTCCCCACACACCCTGGGAGGCTGGGGAGGATTTCAGGTGCACAAACACACATATGGATACACATCCAGAGTCCCCATACCTGTCCAGAAGCCTTTTTAATCTTCTCGTGGAGTCTCTGACGCAACAGACTGATTGCAGAAACAGAAGGGGAACTCAGTTCACTTTTACTTCCTGAAAATGAGAGGGAGAAAATAAAAATACTTAAAAAGCAGCACCAGCTAAACAGTAGCACTTTCTCTGGCTATGGGAAAAACTCTGGGAACTCTTTAGATGCTGTGAATGGAACGGAAAATCCAAACAAACCCAGAGTTTCTATTTCATTGGTTTCTTTAGAATTTCCCCTTTCATCATTCAACACTGCCAGCAGTGGCCTGGCATGCCCTGGGGCTGCCTGGCAAGCCAAAGACAAGTACCAAGCTTGTGGAACAGAGAGGCTCAGGACATCTTTTCTCTGTGATCTGGCTTTTCATTGTCATAAAGGAAAGCTGAGCTGGCAGGACAGGGATTGCATCCACGTGTAATTTCCAAAGTTACTCACATGCACAAACCCTCTGCAGTTCAGTTAAACACTGTTTCCAGAGAGCCACCCAGTGGTGATGGCACAAATTCCTGTCCATAGGCAGAAGCTTCTGGGACACATGAAATAAGCAAAGATGTTCCCAATTTAGGCTTTCCAAACTAGACTTGTGTGAAGCAAGAAAAGCAGCCAGTTCAGCCCAGGCCATGGCAAAGCTGAAATTCTTACCTGTAGCCAAATTCTCCTTTCTGTTCTGTGTGCCACCTTGTGGAGATGATTTGCTGGCTTGAGGGGCTGCTTTCTGTCCTGGAGTGGGTTTACTGGTGTTAGAAACACCCTGTTTGGCTGAAGGAGCATTCTTCTTCTCAGTTTGCTTCCTGGGCTTCTTTTTCTTCTGCTTTTTGACCTGTCTGCCAGCATCCTCGGGCTGGCCTGGCTTAGACACTAGAAAATAACAACAAATTACACAAAATAGGACAATGTCACATTTCCACTCATAACATTCAGTTATTACTGAACATCAGTGTTCCAACATTGCAACGGCATAGCTAAATGTTCAAAAATTATACGTTCTAGGATTTATTTAATTAGATCAAACGTCCTCTAAAACCCCAGCTCTCCACATCCATCGCCACAGTGAATGGAGACCACTGACTTCCAGGGCTCCCAGTACAACGTGCGCAACGTGTTCGGGAGCTCCATGCTTAAGCAGATTGGGTTTTTTGTTAGAAACCGGCACAATCCCGGGCCAATCCCCCCGTGGGGGCACGGCTATCGCGCCCAGCCTCCCACAAACCGGCCGGAGAGGACAGAACCGAAGCGTTACAGTTCCAGTACCAAATTTCCTCTTCCGCGACTCCGGGGCGTGCTGCACGCCGGCCCTCCTGGCCAAGCCCTGCAGGTAGGAGTCCTGGGCGGCCAGGCTGGCCATTGCCACCCCGGGTCCCCGAGCTGCCCGGGGACAGCGTGGGGACAGCGTGGGGACAGCGATGCCGCCCTCGCGGAGCCCCGGCAGGCAGGAAGTGATGGATGGAGCGCGCCGGCCGGGAAGTGACGGCAGCGCCGGGCGCACGGAGCGGCCGCGCCGGAGCCGCCCCCGCCGGGGCTGCCCAGGCTCCGCACGGACCGACGGCGTCCGTCGGTCCCGCCAGGGGGGCTCCGGGCTGTCCTGAGGGGCTGCGACCTATTGTATTGCACTAAAACGGATCTTAGAGCGATCCCCGCTCCTTCCAGACGCCTCCCCCGAGCCCCGCGGGCAGCCCCCGGTTCGCCTCCGCCGCAGGTCCCAAACCTTTGTTTGCCAAACCTCCCTTTACTGCAGGACAAAGCCCTGCACCGGGCTGAGGCCGCCAGAGCACGGGCGAGGTTCGTGATGGTTTCTACAGCCCCTGCAGGGAGCGCATCCCCTCCTCGCATGTGCACGCTCGTATTGTGACATTTTCACAAAGCCTCGTGGCTGAAAACACACGCCTTAAAAATTATACAAAACAGTGAGTTTTATTTAATCACCTAGTTACAAAAATAAATGGAATGGAAGAAAAAGAACCAAAAAATAATAGCAAAAATTCACATCCTAAGAAATGAGACATTACAGCAGAAAGCTGGGGAAGCTCAGCTCAGTTGTTGGAATGCCCTGGTGGCTCTGTGGTGCCCCTGACACCGAGCTGTGGTGACACTTCAGGTCAGTGGCATCTCCCTTTCAGCTGCACAGCTCGAGCCAAGGCAGAGCCACCACAAAAGGAAAGGACAGGAGATGTGCTGAGCTGCTGAACAGCTGCAGACCAAGCACCAAATGTGTTTCTTTGGAAGGAAACTGAGAGTAATCGAGTATTCCTCACTGCTCTCAAGATTTTTTCATTAGACAAAACTAAAAGCCAGCATAAACAGTGGCTCCATGTTAGCTCAGACTACATTATCAGAAATTTCTGTGTAAACACTGAGGAAGGAATCGACTGACTAAAGCATGACACTGCTTCTCTTTGTGGCTTTGAGCAAGTGGTGTCATTGATCCCTCAGTCTGATCCCTGCCTGCCTGTTCTTCTTCCAGGGGAGGAACACTGCTCTTCCATAGGGGTCTCCTGGGATCTTCCTTCCAAATCAAGAGTTCAAGTTTGTAAAGCATTTTGACAGTGAAGACTGTTGTGTAAAAATACTATAAGACTTTACAGTAGACCAGAGGTTGTCAGATGCCACCCTGAGAGAGCTTTAAAGCAGCCAGAATGTCAATAACCTTGGGAAGCAGAGTAAAAACCCCAGCACAATCACTGCCCCCACATTTGGCTCAAGTTTATCCCAAAGAAATTCAACTCCTAACACTCACATGGAAACAAATTTCTAAGACTTCTAATGAACTCTACACACAACTATCACGTTAAAGCAAACCCGACTCTAATTTGTTACAATGAGATTCACTTTGTGTCTACACATTTCTATCTCTTATGGACAGGAGCACTCCTGGCAAGGTCCTGGCGTGGAGGAAGCGCTGCAGCCATGCAGGGAGCAGAGCCCTGCCAGCACAGCTCCAGTGCCTCCTCCCGGCAGCAGGAGCCGCTTGCTCAGCACAGCAGGAGGAAGCCTTCCAGCAGCGCGGGGCCATGCCCGGCTGAACCGCGGATCCTGGGCAGGAACGCTCGGCGGGGCCATCCCCGGATGAACCGCGGCCGGCAGCAGCGGATCCTCTCCAGGAATGCTCGGCGGGGCCATCCCCGGATGAACCGCGGCCGGCAGCAGCGGATCCTCCTCAGGAATGCTCGGCAGGGCCATCCCGGGATGAACCGCGGCCGGCAGCAGCGGATCCTCTTCAGGAATGCTCGGCGGGGCCATCCCCGGATGAACCACGGCCGGCAGCAGCGGATCCTCCTCAGGAATGCTCGGCGGGGCCCGCCCCGTGCCCGTTGACGTGCGGGTGCGAAGGGGTGGAACTCTGCGAGGTGGCAACGCTCTGCTCGGCTGTGGCGGCTGCCAGGGGCATCGAGAGGCTCTCGGGGGACAGCGTGGCAAAGTCTTGTCTCCAGTAGGCTTCGCACAGTGGGAGATCATTGCTGTCACACAGACTGTAGCTTTCCAGAACAAACAACCCCAGTGAGGAGAGAGCAGGTGCGGTGACAGAGGAGGGGAGGGATGGAAAGGGTGGAGGGAGCAAGACAGAAGCAAAGCATTAAGAAAATGGCAAAAAAAATGCTGGATGTAAGGTCTGTGTTCATGAAATCATCCAAAGTTGTGTGACATTGGCTTTCCCTAAGATACCCTGCCAAGGGCTGGTCCTAAAATCTCTTGGGCCTGGTGAGGATCAGGGCAATTTTAGAGAAGAACTGTGGCTACAAAATAAAACAGAGGCTCAATTCTAGTCCAGACACTCCAAGTCTCTGAAAAGATTTGAGCTGAAGTCCTGGCACCCCCAAATATGCAACTTTTGCTTCTGATGAGTGAGACATGGACTTTACCCACAATTATTTTACTTGGAATTAGACTGCAACCTATGTGAGGAAAAAATAGAAATCCTGCTTTAAATTTTACTTCAGCAAAAAAAACCTGCCACAATTGTTTTGGGGCCTGTCCCTGTCACAATAAAGAAGAACCCTATTTGCACCCCTGCCCTTTCAAGAAAGTGCTCCACAGGTTTGGATCTTCCATTGAAGCTTCCCAGTTTGATTATAAAATACTGACAGCTCCTGCCTTTTCCCAAAGAGCCTGAGCTAACAGTGCTTCTAAAAGCAGCTGGCTGGACTCCAACACTGGATGAACCTGCAGTGTGGGAAAATAAGGTTTTTAAACAACTGGCTAATTCTTGCCCATACTCTGAGGAAAACATAATGTGGAAGGGCCAAAACTAAAGAAACATGGAAGGAACTGGAACAAAACCAACACAAATCCCAAAGAGAAGAAGGAGCTGCACACACAAGAGACACCCAAGACAAAGTGAGTGCTGGAGCAGAAAGCAGCTTGCATTCAGAGAAAAACAAACCCAGGGGGTCAAGTGATTTTGTTGTTGCAGCTTTATTTACATTTGTAATGTATGGACTGATGCTTAGGGAAATATTTTAAGTATAGAAATATGAGACAGTTCATATTGCACAAACATGAAACATGTGAGATTTAACCCCACACTCAAGACAGCTCCTGTGATCTCAGAGGAGAGAGCAATGGAACACAAATGCGGGTCTGGGGGTTAGGATGAGAGAGGGCAAGCTGGACTTTGCAGTTACCACTTTGGGGAACAAGCACACAAAGCACCAGGTGCAAGCTGAGCTCTTTTCTGGCAGCATCACCCAGCTGGCTTTGCAGAAGTGAGAAGGCAGTAGGTACAGGTTTTATATCTGGGGCTTCTGTAAAATCCCTTGGAAGATCAGTCCCCAGCACAGTGAAGCTGGGTTCAGTTAACAAAGACCATCAGGACTGAACCAGAACTACAATTCCTGTTCTGTCATAGACCTCAGGCCACGATTTCCCAGGAGAACCTGACCACAGCATCCACAGCTCATGGCAGGGAGCTGCTCCCCATGTTTCAGCTGTGTCAGAAGCACAACTGCTTCTCCTGCTGCCCCACTCAGAACAGTTCCAGAGCCTAAGCTCCACCCTGAGCTAACACTCCTCAGAAGTCAGGCTCAGTGAGCAGCTCTGCACAGCCCAGGAGCACTGGCCAGCCTGCTGCTCTGTCCTGGGAGGGCTCCTCAGGGTGTGGAAGGGACTTCACTACTCCCCTGAGGCACCCAGCCAGACTGAGGGCAGAGGGACAGCTCTAGAAAATTACATGATCACAGGGCAGGAAAACAAAGATTCCTTCAGGACAATCTTCTTGGGTTTAGTGACAAGGACCTGCTTTTGGGTCTCATCAAAAGCCCCATCAAAAGCACATAAAAAGCCTGGCAAACACCTGACCCTACAACTGACCAGGCATTCCCAGGACAGCAAGGAACTCCCCTTGGGGGCAAACAGGCTGTTGTCTTGAGAGCCACTGAAACATGGCTGTGACATAACAGAAACCCTTCCCCCCACATTAGACAATAAGATTTCATTTAAAAAATTGCAGTATTCTAATTATAAAAGGACTTTGAGTAAATCACTGTTTCTGTATTTACACAGACACAATTTCTTTGGTGCAGAAAAAGACAGGAAAGAGCACAGGAAGGGAGGAAGTGCTAAAAGCAAATGACCAAGTGCTACACCATAAAGTGTCAGATCACAGCTCTGCAGAGTGCCAGGTTTCCTCACCTCATGACCCATAAGAAAGAGCAGGAAGGCAAATCCATCTGATGTACACCAACATTTGTGCTTCCATGTTAGTTCTGCCAGCAAGGGTTGCTCTATGTGGCACCTGGGGCCAGGCAGGTGAACAGACCACGCCAGCATGGCCAGAACCCCTCAGTGCAAAAGTGAGAGTGACCAGCACACAGTGGTGGCAGTTTGGGGACAGGGTGAGGGAAGCACACCTGGCACATGTGGGGCACTCTCATCCCACACCACATCCCTCTGGATAAGCTCACTGCTATGTCATGGACCTATCAGCACCTGCACAGGTGCTTGGGTTTGTGATCGTCACAACCTCCTCAAAAAACTGAATAAAGTTTGAAAAATAACTCTAAGTTTTTACCTCTAAGCTGTGTAATATTATTATCTTTTTACTCTTAAAATACATATATTACTCACAAACAATGGCCTTACTTTCAAAGATATTGAGCAATTTAGTTGACTTAGCTAGGGTTATAGGCATTCAGCATTCTTAGAAAAATGGAAAAGGCAAACATAGAAAATCTGGTCAGTAAAATTTTAAGTAAGATTTTTTAAAGTTAAGTGTTTGTTTAAAAGCCCTAGAATTATTGCACTGACTTCACTTAGCTTGGAAAGTGCAGTCAAAATAACCAGGTTTACATTGGTTTTCTTCTGCTTTCATTTACTGCATCATTAACTAGAAGTGCTGGAGTGCATGACAAAAAAAATAAAAAATAAAGTGTCTGAATTCTCTAAAGTCTGTTTGCTAAATAAGAGGCTTTTAAAAATATTACAAATCCCACAAACAAATCAGTAATAAGTCATTCCTTAGAAAATCCTATCACAATACTTCATAATTCAATGAAACTGAGCAAGTCTTTTTGCTCCTTGCAAATGTTGACCCCAGGAGGACTGGAGGCAGCTGGGGGCAGTGGACTGTGAAGGAAAAGGCACAATGTGTGACCAGGTCACTTGTGAAAGGACTCACCACCAAGGTGAGGTGACACCAGCTGGCATCAGGACCCAGCTCAGCAGGCTGGTCTCTGCAAGGAGAGAGCCAGAGGCTCCTTCAGAGGGATTTCCCCCAAGGAAATTCATCTTCTTTTCTAATGATTACAACAGAAGCCTAAGGAAATTACCTATCAAACCTGGGATGCTGTGAACATCTCCTTCACCAGTATGTTTAAACCCTGTAGGGTATCTACAAGGAAAAGGCAGTTGCTTTAGTTGAAAAAATAAAGTTTGACCTAATTAAAAGTAGGACTGAAAATTTTTGGGGAACATTCTCAACACCTATACTCTAAGGGCTATTTGATAGTCTGGACTAACTACCCCAAAAAGGCCTGGAGTTGTAAGGCAGAGTCCACTGCCCTATTTGTACCTGGAAGAGTAATATTCTTCTTCTAGCTCGTACAGGTCAATGGAGATCTCATCCCTCAGGGCAATCAGCTTCTTGTCACACTCCTCCTGCAGGCTCCTCAGCTGCTGGTTGCGCTGGTTGATGGCCTCGTTCACAGAGGGGAAATCGTTGAGGATCAAGAACTGCTTCAGGTCAGACACAAGTTTCATCAGGGACTCACCAGCTCGGACCTTGCAGCAGCAAGAAAAATCACACATCAGAACAGGGCTCTCTGCTCCAGTTCCATCATCTCCCAAGCTGCTCCTTCACCCCAAACTTTAGATAAAAACTCCCACAATGTGAGAATTCTGACAGAATTCTTACCCAGTCTTCCCAAACATGAAGTTACTCTCCTGGCAGCCGTCCTTGGGAGTGTTATAAAGATCCAAAAAAGAACCCAACAGCTCCTGCAGGATGTGCTGCCCACAGGTCTGAACAGTACAGTGCTACTCACAATATTTGCAGCTCTGACGTGCATCTCGTAGTTATCTTGTTCACCCTGGGTTGCTCGAGCAACTTGAGTTTCATCCTCAATCTAAAGAGAAAAGTACACAAATCCACCTCTACATACTTAAAATTCAAATAGACAATTACTATGTTATAAGGTACAATATATGGGTATATATACACGGATATGTGTGTGGATTTCCTACATATGCGGAAATGTGTCAATTTCCTATAGATGCGGATACGTGTGTGAATTTCCTACAGATGTGGATACGTGTGTGAATTTCCTATAGATGTGAAATGAGATCACACATTATGTATATGAGATTTACATCTGTATGTGAATTACAGTTCAATTCACACAATGACCAAGGCCAGGTGGAACAGGGCTTGCAGCAACCTGGAGACGCCTGAAGGCGTCTCTGCGCATTGTAGGGAATGGAACGAGACAATCTTTAAGGTCCCTTTAAAGCCTTTAACATTCAGGGATTCTACGGAAGGTTCTCCCTTTACAGCCCCGTCTTCCTCGCGTACCCCCGCCCTTCTCCGCTTAGCACCCGGGGGGGCGGCCAGCCCGCTCAGGCCCACCTTGGCCGTCTTGATGATCTCGGTGAAGTTGTCCATGATGGATTTGACATCATCCTTGAGGCGTTTGTTGTAGGACTGCAGCAGGGTCTCCTTGCTCTGCGGCAGCACCCGGGGCTGCGCCATGGCCGCACCCTCCCTTCCCGGCCCCGGCCCCGGCCCCGGCCCCGGCCCCGGCCCCGGCCCCGGCCCCGCCCTCCCGCGCTCTCGCGAGATCTCGCTCGCCGTAGATATCTCCCGGCATGCCTCGCTCCTCCTTTCTCTCCCGCCGCCCAAGATGGTGAGTGATGGCGGCGGCGCGGGGGGACCGGGGCCATCCGCCGCCATCTGCGGCCTCCCGCCGTCATCCGCCGCCGCCGATGGGCTATGGTAGCGTTGCGAGGGTGCTCAGCTGGCGGGGGAGGCGGTGGAGCGGCGTTTCATGCCCGATTTGCGGTGATGGGGGAAGGCCGCGGATGGGCCTGGCAGCCCGGGCCGGGAGCCTGCGGCTGCTGCGGGCTCGGGCAGCCCGGCTGGGGCGCGGGGCCGTCCCGGTGGTCAGAAACGGGCTGTGGGGGTATCTCGGCTGCTCTCGGGGAAGATATCATCACCCTCATTTTAATCCTTTTCCCTCTCGGTGTGGTTTATAAACCTTGTAAACGTAAAGCAAAGGATTTCCTCTTTCTGGGAGAGCATGGGAGGCCGCCATGCTGCTGAAATGCCTGGGAAAACAAATGCATTTCTAGGGTGAGCTGGTAGTTTCCAAGCTTGCAAGTTTCGGAGGCAAAAGAAGGCAGAGTACGTTTCTTTCTTGCAGCCGAAAGGAAAGAAGGCCAAGGGCAAGAAGGTGGCACCGGCCCCTGCTGTAGTCAAGAAGCAGGAGGCCAAGAAGGTTGTCAATCCCCTCTTTGAGAAGAGGCCCAAGAACTTTGGCATCGGTGAGTAAGTGGATATTTGGGATAGTTGCTCCCATGGCTTTTTTCCTGTTCAGTGAACAGATGCCTAAGTTATAAACATTAAAAACCACTGCAGACTTTGTGCAGTGCTGCTCTCATCCAAGGCGCAGATGATGTGAAAGAATATTTGCTATCTGAGTGGTTGTGCTGACACATCACCACCAAGATCACTGATGCTCCTGTGCCTTTCCCGTGCTGCTGCTCTGGATTTGGGGCAGCCCTGAGCTAAAGGCTGTGTTTTTTTAGGACAGGATATCCAGCCCAAGCGTGACCTCACCCGGTTTGTGAAATGGCCACGCTACATTCGGCTGCAGCGCCAGAGGTCCATCCTCTACAAACGCCTCAAGGTGCCTCCTGCCATCAACCAGTTCACCCAGGCCTTGGACCGCCAGACAGGTGAGGATGTGCCCCACGAGGCTCTCTTGGCTTGGGTTGTAAATGGGATGTGCAAAGAAACCAAAAAGAGCCTTAACAAAGCTAAACTGGGCTGTGACTGTGGAACTGTTTTAGGGAGGCTTTAATAGCAACCAGAGTGGTGTCAAAATCAATTTGCTGGTTTAAATCTTGGATTGCTGCTGTGTACTCTGAAAAGGGATTTAGAAAATACTAAAGCTCTATTTACTGACTCAAATCCTGCATTAAATCTTAACTTTGATTCCATTCTTCCAGCTTGATGTAGACCTACCCAGGGTGGTATGAACAGATTGCTTGAGACATCTGTGGGAGCGCAGGTTTTGGGGGAAAACTGGCACTGTAGGAAGAAGGGATTTAGGGGTCTTCTGTGAATGCAAAAAGCTTTGGACCTGTGTAGAATAATTCTTCCTCATAGATGCTCTTTACTTTAAAAGAGCCATGCACCACCTCTAACCGTAATTGCTGTGGGGGTTCACAGGCATTTCCTCATCCAGACAGTCAAGGAGCTGTCAGGGCCATCAGAGCTGCATGCAAACAGGGGCTCTCAGGGTGCTCTTCTGGACTGTGCAGATGATGATCATTTATTGCTGTGAAAAAAAATGTGATGCCAACCACCAAGATCGCTGATGCACTGCAGTGTTTTTAAAAAGAGTGCTTAGATTTTCAGGTCATGCAACTAATTAGTAGGTGTTCTCTTCCAGCCACGCAGCTTCTGAAGCTGGCACACAAATACAGGCCTGAAAATAAGCAAGAGAAGAAGCAGAGGCTGCTGGCTCGTGCTGAGCAGAAAGCTGCAGGAAAGGGAGATGCTCCAACCAAGCGGCCGCCGGTCCTCCGAGCAGGTAACTTTGTACCTGAGCTGCTGGAACATGGGAGTGTGGCACTTTGGCAGAGAGAAAACTGATGGAGAGTTGGTTCTTCAGCCAGCCTTGGACAAGCTATGGCAATGATGTTATGAATTTCTTCACCTGAGCTCAAAGTGAAGAGCAAAATAGACGAGCTTTTTAACCCTGAGCTTTAGCAAATTGTCCATGAAATATCTTTGTGCCACTGATGTTTTTGTAAAGGTTTTGTTACTTGCATAGTGATGCTGTGCTATGGAATCAGAGTTGGCTTGTAAGAAAGCTCTGAAAATGGACTGAGAGGAATCAAAGCTTATCTAGAATTTGTTTTTCAGGTATCAATACTGTCACAACTCTAGTGGAGAACAAAAAAGCTCAGCTTGTCGTTATTGCCCATGATGTAGACCCCATTGAGGTGAGCATGTTACCAGCTGCCTGTGTAGCTGGGGTTAGAAATGGGTTTTAGGACAAATTGCATGAAAGAGAATGCACCAAAAAAAAATACACTTTTGCCAGAACTGGATGCTTGTGCATATTTGTAGTTGTCCTGGTTGGACAGTGAGGCTGGGCCCTTGCAATGATGTTTTGAATTTCTTCACCTGAAGCAGCAGTGAAGAGCAAAACGAGCTTTTTAACACTGAGCAATTGGCACAGCCCAGGCTGACAGGCAGCACAAGGGGATGTTCCCCCTCAGCTGCTCAGCTCTCCTTTCCCTTCCAGCTGGTGGTTTTCCTGCCAGCCCTGTGCCGCAAGATGGGAGTCCCCTACTGCATCATCAAGGGCAAAGCCAGGCTGGGCAGGCTGGTCCACAGGAAGACCTGCACCTCCGTGGCCTTCACCCAGGTTAACCCGTAAGTGTTCTGGGAGCTCGCTTGATTTGTCTTGTGGAAAAAGCAAACTGCCCTAAACAGGCTCTAGGCAGGTGGGTAGCAAACTTGGGTTTGTCTGAAATGGTAAAATATAAATGCCACCTCTGTAGTGTCTGATAAAAATGTCTCTATCAAATCCTGAAGGTGCAGATTATTTTGGTTTACCAAAAAAGGTGGTTACTCTAAAATCCAAGCAGTGCAGATTGAGTGTTAACCCTTTGTAAGTGATGCTTTTGCTTAACCTGAAAAATTGGGTTGTCAGTAGAGGCTCTCAAATTCTATGGCAAAATATTTATGGAAAATGTTAAATCAAGGCTCTAAAGGAACTAAAACTCTCATCAACAGGGAGGATAAGGGAGCCCTTGCAAAGCTGGTGGAGGCTGTGAAGACCAACTACAATGACAGATATGATGAGGTAAGATTCTGTGTGCTGCTGGCCTTGTCTTTGTACACTGTTAACATTCCCAGAAGGGAGAAATGGGTCATAGTGACATCAGTTTATACTTGGGTGTGTTACACCGAGGTTTGCTTACAATGTACTCAGAGTCTCTACCTGAGGATGGGGTAAAATGAAAGCTGTCCACCAGGTTAGAAGTAAACAGCCACCCTAGGGCAAGGATTGTAGAGAGGGCAGCAGCTTTTGCTACCTAAACTCCATATCCCAAATCCAGGATTTATGGCATAGCTGAATCCAACATCCCTCATTGGGAAAGACTTAAAGCTTTTCTCTTTGCTGCCCCAAAATGTAGTGCAATGCTTGAAATATGCAGGACTTTTTAGTTGAGGGAGCTCTTCCCCTTGTGCAGAATTGAGTGCCACAGTGAGGTCTCTAACCTGTTGTCCCTTCCTTGCAGATCCGTCGTCACTGGGGCGGGAATGTCCTGGGTCCAAAGTCAGTGGCTCGCATTGCCAAGCTGGAAAAGGCAAAGGCTAAAGAGCTGGCTACAAAGCTGGGCTGAAGATGAACTGCACTGCACCATGTTCTCTGTACATAATAAACCCCAGCTGTTTCAGTGGTCTCTGTTCATGGGAGTGTTCTAGGCACAGTGGCATTGCTGTATTTCTGTGTTTTGCATCCAGTGACAGAATAGTGCTGGGCAGAACCAGCTGCAGGGTTATTGCTGGTTAGAGCTGGTTATTACTTACCTTGGAGTAACTTTACTCTCTCTTGAACACACAGCCCAGCAGCTCAGCTGCACATGGGATTTTGAAGTTGACTGGGCTGGGCTAGTTCTGGCTTTAAGGCTGGCTTGGTTTTGCAAATCTACATTGGAAATAGCTTTTGATTTCTCCTTACTTAGGACTGGGTTACAGTATGGGTTACACACAGTGGTACAGCCTTCCACACCTGCAGTGCCCCTTGCAGTGAGGGCAGGCTGAGGGGGAAGAATCAGGAGTTTCCTGAGTGCTGACTTGGTCTGGTGGCACTGTGGATGAAGGCTACCAAGGCTCCAGCTGTGGTAGTTGCTTGTTTTTGCCAGCCCTCATCTTGCAAAGCCACAGGCTGCCTTCCCCAGCTAGACCTGAGTGTCCACAGTAACCTCTAATTCATCTTTGCTACTGTTCCATGTATGATGCATGATGCAAGTCACAAGGCAAAGACCTGAAGGCCTTTATTTATCTGCTGAATCTGCTGTGAGCCATTCCTGACTTTAGGAAGGACTTGCTGCAAATAGGCTGATTGACAAAATCCTCTGGATCTGTCTTAAGGGAAAAAAAAAAATGGAGTTAGAATGTAGCTTACAACCAACCAGGATAGAAAAATGTATTTTTGTGGTTACTACTGAAGTTCACTTCTCCCACACTGGTGGGAGTTCAGTTTGCAGGGATTGCTTCAAGTCTGTTTGCAGCTTGATAATTTGTTTGCTCAAACTGCTCTGGAATTCCAGGTTCTTCAGTTATTTAGGACTCATCAGGCTCCTGTCATCCATAAAAGTCTGCTCTTGACTGTAGCACAGAGATGTTTCTTCCTTCCCCTCACAGAGGTACCTTCTGTATAAATTTCTTGTACCACAAGAAGGAAGTTGCAGCACACAAGCCGTACCTGTGAGAGAATCACACGTTGGCAACTTTCCAGGGTGGACTGGGCCTCCCTAAGACAGCTGCAATAACTTGGCACAAACTATTTAGGTTAAGACTGGCCTTTTGTAGCTCAAGAGCTCCTCCAGAGGAGCCCAGGCAGGCCCCTTACCAGGTGACAATGTACTGCATGTGCTCGTTCCTCAGGCTCACCCTGGTCTGGCCCCCGATGGGCCCCCCTGGGACTGTGCTTCCTGTGGGAATAACACAGCCAAATTAAATCCTTACCTGCACAGCGTGGAGCTGCACTGAGTGTAAGAGGGGAAGAAAGTGATCAATCTGGTGGATATGCTGTTCTCACTCAGCCAGTGGGGTTCCCAAGTTCATAGAATCACAGAATAGTTTGGGTTGGAAGGGAAGGGACCTTAAAACTTACCTCATTCTACCCCTTGCCATGGGCAGGGACGCCTTCCTCTATCCCAGGTTGCTCCAAGCCCTGTCCAACCTGGCCTGGGATACTTCCAGGGATCCAGGGGCAGCCACAGCTGCTCTGGGCACCCTGTGCAGGGCCCCCCCCCCCACCCTCACAGGGAAGAATTCCTTCCCAATATCCCATATAACCAGTTGAAGCCACACCCCTTGTCCTATCTCTGATGCTCCTGACAAAGTCCTTTCCCAGCTCTCTTGTAGGCTCCCTGTCACCTTCAGTAGAGGGCTGGCAGAGCACAGAAGAGAACTGAGGGGGAAAGGGAGGGAGGGTGATGTAAATTGGACATGGGCTGGGCCCCTCTTGTGACTTACTGAAATCTGCATCGATGAAGATGGGCTCAGCACCGGTCACCTTGGCCATGGCCTCCAGGTCCCGGTAGTGCCAGCGGTTTTGTTCGATGTTGTTTTCAGGCACAAAGGGTTTCCTTTTTTCTGTTAACCTCACCACCCCTGTGAGATCAATCTCATCTTCAATCTGAGGAAAAGTGCAGGAAGAAAAAAAGAATGTTTCAAGATTGATTTCGTATTCTGACACGTTTCCTGTCAGGAAAATGTGGCACTTGAGGGGTCTGAGCATAAATGAAGTGGTTTTTCCCCACAGTGAGGCAGTGCTGTAACACAGCAGGGAAAAAAGCAGAACAACAGCTCCTTGTTTGTAAAACACATTATTTACTTAACAAAAAGGTGGGAATTAAAGGTTTGTTGTCTTTGAAAATTGCAATGACTAATTAAATCACCTCCCATGATGCTGAACATAGCTCCTGCCTTTCTGGATTAGTGAGTGGTGCCTCTGGGTAACCAAAGGGCACAAAGTAACACCCCCCATTCCCTGGATCCCCCTTACCTGTCCCTTCTGCCTGGTCTCTGGTTTCAATTTGTTCTTGGGCACAAATCCTCGGTTGACTAAAATCGTGACCCTAGAATTACATAAAGAAGCACTGCTCAGGAGTGAAATGGAATTTAATCCTGCTGCTGCCTAGAACTAAAGACCAAAGAAAGAAGCAACCCACGTGTTTGCTGCCACTTTTGCTGTCACCTGAACGCACATTATAAAGGAATTTAAATACAATTTCAAATGGAGCCTCGATGATGTCATAGACTAAGAGATACCTTTTAAGGCAGGGAATTATAGGTTGGATATTAGGAAGAAGTTTTTTACAGAAAGGGTGATCAAGTTCTGGAATGGTCTGCCTGGGGAGGTGGTGGAGTCATCATCCCTGGATGTGTTTAAGAAAAGACTGGATGTGGAGCTGGGTGCCAGGGTTTAGTTGAGGTGTTGGGGCTGGGATGGACTCTATGATCTTTAGTGATTCTGTGCATTCTGTGAGTGAGAGATACCAACCCAACCACCAGGATTCAGATTTTCCAAGGAGCAGTGAGTGCTCCCGTGGAGCAGGGCCCTCCTGGACTCA